TATAATTAAACCAAATAAAATTATATTTTATTATATCTTTTATCTTTCAACAAATCCAGACTCAATTCGAAGACAACTTTCTCCACATTTCGAAAGCTGCTGTAGCTCACTCGCCTGCATTTCCCGCTATTACCCACTATTAAAATAATGGGAATTGGTGTAAATTTCACCTCCAGTTACCCCACGCTGCGAAGGCTCTTCACTCCTATGCATGCCTCAGTAAACGCAACTCGAGTCGAGATATCCGCTCCGGCAGCCACAAACAACGGAGCACTGAGCTGAGTCCACGTCGAGTTGAACTCTCTTGGTGTAGGTCATAAACAGATTCAGGTGAGCAGCAAACACCTGGGAGAGTGGCAGTGGCAGTGGCACTGGACCGGACCGGACTGGATGGGGCAGGGGCCGAGAGTGGTCCATTGTACTATATGGGGCTGTCCACTTTAACGACTGCACCTGACCAACTGCAGCTGATGTGTTCATCTTACTTTATTGCGCCTGTATGGCGTGGAGTATATGCTTTGAAGAGAGCCAACTATATATGTATTATAAATATATATGTAGATATGTATGCATGTGTGTGTACTTTTGTCACATATACTTGAACGGGCTTTCGGCGACTTGATTTTTGCTTTACGCCAACATTGCTTGAGCGGATCGTCTTGGGACTGCAGTCAACGGCATTTACTTGCGGGCATTTATTTTGTGGCCATTGCGAATGGCGCACGAATGTGGCAAAGGAAGGCGTAGTGGAGAGCGGCGGGTGGGGAGCGGGGAGTGCTGAGCGGTGAGCGGGAGTTTACTCCATAAACACGAGCGTGCAGCTTTTGTGAGTCACGCATCAGTTGTGCATCTCGAAGCTCTCGTGCAGTCTCCTTCTCCTCCTGCTCCTGCTCCTGCTCCTGCTGGCGGCTGTTGCTTTTATTGATGTGTTTGTTGTTGCCAGGATCTTATGGCGGAGCCTGTGAGTGACTTTAAGCTGCGGCAGCTGCAACGTGTGCCGTGTGTATAATGTGGC